TAAGCATTGCGGTTTAAAAACAAGTGATTTTAAGCCATTGAAATGCAATCAACAGCGAAAGAGAACTCATTTGCACGCGCTGTCTGAGAAACTGTTTCTGAGTGCTTTCAGAGAGGTGCAAGCACATAAAGACGGTGCTCATAGAGCGCGGCAGAGTTTTTTTTTTTTGCTGTTTTGTAGGCTTTGAATGGTTAAATACACACACTTTTATGTGTCAAAATGCCCATCTTTGCAAGTATCCTCTTAAACATAGTAGGTCTTAAGTGAAAGCAAACAGCTGAGAAAGAAAACACATGTGTAACAGCATATTAGATCCGGGCAGCTCTTAGAGTGACAGCAGTCTAATATTACTGCCGTCTGTCATTAATTTTAATCAAACAACAAAAGAGAGACAATACCTCACTGCTCTTGACTAAATTACTTTTTTAACTTTAATAAGAAATATTGTGTTTTTCAGTTTTTCTCCTATTGCTTTTAATTCGTTTTTTTTTTTTATTCTCATTTAATCGCTGTTTACTTGTGACTTTTTAAATTTAGGTTAGTATTAGTTTCATGATATCAAACATTTTGACCTTTGACCTGATTTAAAGCAAAAGTAATTATATTGTTATATATATCATTACTGTGAAATAAAATTGTTCATAACGTGATATAAGATTTTGGTCATATCGCCCACCCCTATATACAACCCTTCAAAAGTTTGGGATCGGTAGGATTTTTTTTTAATGTTTTTGAAAGAAGTTTCTTATGCTCACCAAGACTGCATTTATTTGTTACTATTTTTACTTTAAATACAGTAATATTGTGAAATATTACTACAATTTAAAAGAACTGTCTGAATATGTTTTGAAAATGTAATTTTTAAATTTATTGAAAAAGTATTTATTTCAGAAGCCATTACTCCAGTCTTCAGTGTCACATGATCCTTCATAAATAATTCTAATATGCTGATTTGGTGCTCAAGAAACATTGGTTGAAAAAAGTTATGCTGCTTATTTTTAGTGAAACGTGATACATTTTGGTCCATAGAACAGCATTTATTACAAATAGAATTTTTGTAACAATGTAAAAGTCTTTACAGTCATTTTTGATCAGTTTAAGGCATCCTTGTTGAATATAAGTACTTCTTTCAAAAACAAAATCTTACTTGAACAATAGTGTATCTGCATTTTACATGCACAACTCCTCACAAGAAACAGAGATTTGTTTATACCAACAGTATATGCATTTATTGATCCTAAACCTTTCCCTTACTACTAGTCCAATGTTGCATGCTCATCTACTGAGCTAGCGTGCTAAAACAGTTCTAGTATAGGTCTAGTGGCTGGCAATCAAAAAAAAGTCATCATCACTACTGTACATCTACTTGCATAGAGAAGACAAATGGCAGTAAGCTGTTATGAATAAGACCATATTAATAAATTAAGAGCACATACCACTCTTCATGCCTGCATATAGCTGTAATATCATTTGTGACAATGCATCAGGTTTTTAATGCACTGAATTAATGCAATGGATATTTTTTCAGCCCTTAAAGAAGAAAACTTATTTATAAAACTTCCTGTCCAGTAAAAAACGATTTAATACCAACTAAAACATATTCTAAACCACAACAGAAGCTAACTGTTTATTTCTAAGAGTAGGTTAAAATTGGAATAAATGTTTGATATGACCTCATTCCGATTCTATTTTAAATTCATTTTACTAAATAAACTGTTTTATGTTAAGAAATATTATGCTATGCACATACCAAGAATGAATGAAGATACTATACTAGCAAACAGGAGCTGACTTGATTATTGTACATAATACTATTTAATATGTTCAGGTTGTTAATCCCTTTTTCAGAGTTAGGAATTCCCAAGAAACATTTCCTACTGAGAGTGTTGTTTCATCCTTCATGAACAGGTGTTAATACCCATATGTGCACCAGTGACAGTGACATATGATCAACCAGAGCCATATGACCTCAGAGCACAACAGCACTGCATAACTTATCTCAAATTTTCATTTTAGGTTTCCAATCAAATCAGAATAAAAAAATAAAAAAAATTTAAATGAGAATGTTGTCAGAGAGCTGGCAAATATTAGATAAGGCTTGAGTTTTGCTTTGAATTCAGCAACCAGTGCGCAGGGAGTGGACCACAGTGCTCTGTGTGTAAGGCTGTGAACAATGTGCATATATAAACAGACAGATGGAAAGAACCTATAGCAGCATGTAGAAATAACCACTCACCTTCTTTAAATTCTGCCACAACTTCAGCTGAAACACAAAAGACAACATACCACTGAATTAAACTGTAAATATGTAAATTACATATATATATATATACATTGAAACAACACAATAACTTCTAACTGAATGAGACCAATGATTTATTATTTGGTGTGTGTTCATGTGGATAGTGTATTTACTTACTGACAGCCTCAGCTGCTTGTGGCCCTTGTTTTGGTCTATTGGCAATGTCTATCATACGCTCATTATATCTTTCCTTGTCCCCTGAGACAGTGCGGTACGCCTTTAAACACACAAACAAATAAACAACACTTACATTGAACTCTGCAAATCTAAAAATCATCATCGCAGGACGACAAAAGCTGCATGTGACCGATCAACTAGAATGTGAGGAAGTTTATGACTGATATTAAAACAACATCATTTACTACACTGAAGAAAACTGATGCAACTTATGATCCAGAGTCTGAAATGGAACTCTGAAATGGAGACTGAAATTTTGAGCATAATCAAAAAAGTGTCTGCCAAATGCACATGTAAATTAACATCAACATGATTCACAAACTAACCACAACCCACATGAGCAGTACATTTCTAATATCGGAAGCAATTATCTGATGAAATATATATTTTATGCACTGACAATATGGGGCTGGGTAGGGTTACACCAGCCATTTGTAAGGTCTTACTTAAATTAGAATATAAAGTCCACACTAGAGGTGTCTACTAGCAGTAGACTACTAGTAACTACTAGCTAGTGGCACCAGTTGTTCGTAAGGTAGGAAGTAGCTAGTAGTTCGTAAGCTGAAGCTCTCCGTAAAGTAATGTCGCATAATATGACATTTACCCTAAGACCCAATAGAAGTCTTCAAATATGTGAGCAGAACTTGTTTAAATGCTGTTAATTTAAATGTTTCCTTTATTCTAACTTCTTTTTCCTCACATAACTAACGGTAAAAATAAGTTTCCATTAAAAACAATACTTAATCATGAATAACATTAGCCTCTGATGAAATATATATTTTATGCACTGACAATATGGGGCTGGGTAGGGTTACACCAGCCATTTGTAAGGTCTTACTTAAATTAGAATATAAAGTCCACACTAGAGGTGTCTACTAGCAGTAGACTACTAGTAACTACTAGCTAGTGGCACCAGTTGTTCGTAAGGTAGGAAGTAGCTAGTAGTTCGTAAGCTGAAGCTCTCCGTAAAGTAATGTCGCATAATATGACGTTTACCCTAAGACCCAATAGAAGTCTTCAAATATGTGAGCAGAACTTGTTTAAATGCTGTTCATTTAAATGTTTCCTTTATTCTAACTTCTTTTTCCTCACATAACTAACGGTAAAAATAAGTTTCCATTAAAAACAATACTTAATCATGAATAACATTAGCCTATAGGTAAGCTATATTTATATGTAAATAACATTCAGAAACTGTCATTGAAATGAATAAGGATCAATAAATACTGAAAGAAAAAAAAATCCCATTTATTTATTATGACTGATTTTATTTGGCATGCGCAATATGGACTAGGGTTGGGCCGATAGACGATGCCATTGTCCATCGCCGATGTCTAATAGACATCACGATGTTGAGCCGATGTTTCGTTTTAAATGAAAAATGTACTCTGTGTGATTGGCTTTCGGCCCTTTGTATTAAACTATGCATACATACATGATGCTGTTTTGTTTATAGTTGTTTAAGCAACTTAATTATAATTGGTTTATAAACATTATTTTAAACATTATGCACTTTTTTCACAGATAGTCTGTTTTCTTATGTTTTGAGTGTGCATTAGTAATATTTTGCTCGATGCGCCCTCTTGTGGCCTCAGGAGAGAAGCCAAAAGCTTTTCTTCACCCTAACTGAAATTATGCATTTTAAATTCGAATATAATTCGAATTTTGATAATATTTAAGTAAAAAAATTCGAATTTAGTTTTTCAGCCATTTTGACAGCCCTAGTACTTACATAAACTCCTGTCCCCAGACATGTTGCTCCAACCAGGACATAATACAGTGTGTTTTCGCCGCCCCCTCCTGCTGGCCCTGATGACATCTGGGCTTTCTGAACCATCTCCAGTCTTCTCCCATGCCTCAGCACTGAGAAGTCAATCATAAAAACTATATACATATATAAAATGATACATGTATAATTTTCATGTATTTTATATACACAGCATATTAAATGCAAGATGCAAGTAAACTGTCTACTGTTACTGTTTAAAATAACTGTTGTAAATAATGTCAAAATAAGGATAAAATGTTCCATCGTTATTTAGCATAACAAATATAATTTAGCACAACAAATGTATAAATGTAAAAATGAAACAACATACTTACTCTAACCCGTACTTACTAACATGTATAAATGAATAAGTGGCCATACTAAAACTATTAAAAACTTCTTGATGACAAATGGGTAAAGCCTAATGGTTTCAAGGATAGTGGCAAAGATTGGAAAAGATTTAAAATGACACTTAATTAGTAATTTGGGGCTGCAAATTTGGGGCTCCTTAAATAGAGTAATTTAATGTCATCTAATGATTCTTGTTCTAAACATTCCTGACAAGATTTTTTGGTATACAAACTATTGTTACACTGAGTGACATTTTTCCATTCATGGGAAAATATTTAAACAGGACACATTTTAATGTACGAACATTTTTTTTAAAGCTGCTTTATTTCCCAAGAATATATGTCTGTAATCAAATACTTTTCTATTTTCTTTTTTTTTAGCTTCAGGATATAAAACATTTTCGATATTTTGCGATTTTTTTCAACTTGAAAATGAAATGGATTGCACTACTTTTAGTCGTTTAGTGTATGATGCCCCGTTTTTTCTGTAACAATTTACGAGCGTTTGCGTGTATGATACCTAATGTTTTTTTTTATTTGTTCAGTACTGTAAAGTGGAAAAATCTGTGAAGTCGCGAAGTGTATTCCCTAGCTAATAGACATCATCTTGCGACTCAAAATGGTTACTACGACAACCAAATGTAAAATAATAATAATTATAATAAAATGAAACCTGTATCGGAGAAAATTATACATTTTAAGTCTAAAGTCTATTTAACCAGTAATAATAACATTTAAATAAATAAACCACCAAATAAACATTTAAAAGTCCGTGTATTTATTTATTGGTAAACCCGTGTAGTAAACTGTAAAGTATATAGTCAACCGGTCATTATTGTAAAATAGACAGCGTCATGGAGCTGTCAGAGCCACAAGCGTGCGAGAGGCAGACTTGATGTTCACCGACCTTGGCCCAAAAATTACTGCAGCTCTTCGTGCAGTCCTGCATTAACCCATACAAGCGGTTTCGTTACAAACAGTCATTTTGACAGAATTCCCATATTGCGTTTTTCTGCTGAAAATGCGCGGTGTGACCGCAGACAGCACTGAATGAAACTTCAGGTGTTTATCTACTCAATACTACTCACTACTTGTTAGTTTCAACTATATACATGGTCAAATAAAGTACCTAGCATCTGGACAGCACCCTACAGCACGCACTAAACTGGACCTTTATCCTACCGGCGCCTGGACTTGTGTTTCCATAGAAATTGTGCAAGCCTTTCTGCTAGAAATTAAGTTCACAGACGATTAGCAGAGCCACAGACTTCTGCCGCTTTTTTCAACTTGCCTGATTTTCTAGCATTCTGCAGACACAGCGTGGATGAGGCCCGGACCAGCGGAGCCAGTTTATTCCATACTGTCTTGCACTTAAACATCGCAGCTCTGCTGTGCTTTTCAGTAAGACAGCCTGGGGAAGTTCACAGCCACGCTCACCGTGCAGCTCTAGCACAAGGCCGGAGACCTTCTCAGGTCACACAGCTCCTGCAGGCGCTTCCGGTTTTGGCTGACGGCCCGCCCTCTTTCTGCACTGATTGGCTGCGGCACTGACAAATTTGTGAGTGATTGGTTAGATTTTCTGTCAGTTATAATTTGTCAGCGTTACTCAATTGCCGATTGGTTATTTGTGGGGTACGCCTTAACGATGCCACAGGTCGTGTGACGAGAGACCGCCCAGTTAACGTCCCACTGTATTCAAGGTATATATAGATTGATCTTTCTTTCAATTTTTAGCTTTATAACTGATAAATAATTATAATTCAGCCATTTATACATTCTAAATGACTTGAATTATTTAAAAAAAAATTGTTTTTTTGCTTTGCATTAAAATCTTTCGTAAAAAATATTGGGGTCAGTAATTTTTTTCTTTCTTTTTTTTTTAATTAATACTTTTATTTTTTGCTTTGCATTAAAATTTTTCGTAAAAAAAGATTGGGGTCAGTATTTTTTTTCTTTCATTTTTTGAAAGTGTGTTAAATTGATTTTTAAAAAGTGATAGTATAGACTTCTATTTTGAATACATGCTGTTCTTTCATCAAAGAATCCTGAATAAAGTATCACAGTGTCCAAAAAAAATATTAAGCAGCACATCTGTTTTTTTAACATGTGACACTGGAGACTGGAGTAATGGCTGATGAAAATTCAGCAATGCACCACAGAAATAAATTACATTTTAAAGTATATTAAAATAAAATTTAAAAAACATTATTTTGAAGTTGTAATAATATTTCACAATTTTGCTGTTTTTATTCTGTATTTTTTATCAAATAAATGCAACCTTGATAAGCAGAAATGACTTATAAAAAACAACAACACCAAAAATCTTACTGATCCCACTTGTGCCCTGTATTAAAGGCACAATATGTAATTTTTTTGCCACTAGAGGGCACGTATTCAAAACAAACAAAGGCGTAGTTTGATGACGCCGTGACTGGGTGTGGAATCATGGGCGTTGTCGTCTTCATCCGATGGGACTCGAGCAGAAATCATGTTCATCGATGAGCTAATGTATTAAAGATTTATTAACGTCGTAGTATGAAGCAGAGTGAGGCGGAAAGCCGTCGAAGCAAAACGAGGCCGCTGAACGCCCTTCCGACACAGGGCTCGAAAGCAGCGGAGTTTTTATTATGCCACAGTCAACCGCTTCTGCTCCTTCCGGAAAGCAGCGGAAGCAGCGCTGTTTTATCATACTAGATACATTTGAACGTTCTGTTATAAAGCTACTCTGTGTGGTCGTCACCTGTCTAATAAAACGCACAACATATTAAAGCGTCTTTGGTGTTTCCATGTTTTCTACAAAACAAAACCGGAAATCGAGGGTGTATGACGTCATTGGCAGGCGACACAATAGACACGTGGCTGTGTCCGAAATCGCCCCCTATACCCTTAAATAGGGCACTATTTGAGGGAACAGCCATTTTTAGTGGTGTCCGAAACCATAGTGGACGTTCTCGAGTGCACTCATTCAATCCCACAATGCACTGCAAAAACGAGTGTACAACTGGTGCACGCTCAACGGCTAGAGAATGCCCATAATGCACCGTGAGAGTCACGCGCCGAATGAATTCCCGCATCTCGCCAGAAGATGGCGCCCGCAGCTGAATAATCAATCCGTTCATTTTTACAAAGCGCTCATCCATGGCGTACAGCATAATGTACAACACGGGTATAAATTCATTGTAAATTGATTATTAAATTGTTTGATTAGGGTTCATACATAATTTCCGTGACAGGGTTCAAGACAAATCCTTTAATCTTACTACTGGAGCTGCTAGTTTCAAATGATTAATAAACAGCAAGCACAAACTATGCAAAAGCGGCATTCCTTCCGGTGCACTCAGTGTCCGCATTCACTACTCGTTTTCATTCACTCCTTCTAGTGAACTGAATTAGTGACCTAATGTAGGGAATAGTGAATGAGGGTATAGGGGGCGATTTCGGACACAGCCACGGTCCGTGTCACTAGTTAAAATTGCTTTTTTTCTCTGGATTTAAACATTCTTCGAAACATTTGGGATAATGTAAGTACACAAGTCAGTAAAATATATAAAACTGATCTAGTGGTTTTTGGATATTTTAATTAAAAAATCTTACATATTGTGCCTTTAACAGTGCATGGTACAAAACAATGAAAAAGCAGCATTAACATCAGTGGCGCTGCAAACACCCCCCAGTTTTCAGATCACTCATACATACGCCCCTGATTTCCCACATGCAATCACACTTGATAGAAAGCGGGGCGGTGCCGTAACTGCGGGACTTTCCAGCGAGGAAAACAAAACTGACATGCGGAAGAGCCCTGAACAGCGCACAGACCTTTGACTCCTTCAGGATACGACAGGAAAAAACTGCTTTCTCTCTCTGTCATGCGAACATTCTGTAAAACACTGTCGGAACATGACATCAAACTTACAAATCAGCCCCAATTATAGCCAGCTGGACGAAAACATATCTGAAAACAAAACTGCAAAAGGGCAGTATATATTCTTCTTGATTCTGACTTTAATATTAAGCACGGAGACGTTTATCACGGCTTTTCTTCTTTATGACTTCTCCGAGGATATTCACAGAGTGAGTTAAATCGTATAATCTTAAATTATTAACATCTTTAAACAAATATTGTTATTTATACAAAGAATATGATTCTATAATTCTATTTTTTTACTTTAAAAGACTCGTGAAACAGGCAAAGATGGAGGGTATCCAATCCACTGTCTCTCCACAGATCTTACCCAACCGACAAATCAAGCAGGTATCGCAAGCTGTGACTTGTTCAATCAAGAACTGAAACAAACCGCACAGCAGGTATTTAAAACTGCTTCAAGACCTGAATACATTTTGTGATAGTGAGAAATATAAGATGTTCCATAATAAAACTAGATTCCCTTTTGAACAGAGACTGTTGATGGACATACAGAATTATGTACTGGAAACATTAGGAGGTAAAAGAAATACATTTATGTATGTATGTTTGTTTGTTTATTTAGTGGTACATAGCTTACTGCTGCTATGCCCGTGAACGCAACTAACTTGTAATCTAACTCTTGCGGTAGTCAAATGTTAAACTTGAAAACGATTTTTAAACTTTATGCCTGCGTATGTAAAAAATAATATAGCTAATTTGTGAAGTCAGACCCCGCACCCCCACAGTTCGCGCCCTGGTTCAAGCATTGTATTTAATTGAAAGTGTGTTCTTGGACTTTACAGAACATAACGTCACTGAGATTTTCAAACCAGCTGTGCATGTCGGGGCAAAACAAGAGCTTAAACAATATCAAAGGCTGCAGAAAAATGGTAGGATCTTCCCCACAGCTTACATTGTTCAAGATAAAGTGGTTAAGTTTAATAGACTAATGGTAACAGCGGTCATCTTTTTTTTTTTCTTTTTTTTAACTTTCTGCAGACGGAGTTCCTACACTGGATCGTATACAGTGGGATAACATGAACGGTCAATTCAGTCAGGAAGGGTTAATGCGCCTGACTCCCGATGGAGAAATAGCGGTGCCACACGACGGAATTTACTTCGTTTTCTCTCAGGTTAATTTCGAAACTCAATTAGGACAGATTATGCACTTTACGCAGTATTTATACAAGACGACAGCATCCTATCCACGACCAGTGATGCTCGCAAAATCTGTAGTGACTCCCTGCGTGAGCGTAAACTCTAGTGTACAGCTTTATTCCAGCCATCAGGGGGCGCTGTTCCGCTTAGAAAAGGGCGACAGGCTCTCCTTGTACGTGCTGAATATAAGCGCCGTGCGCTTCCCACAGGAAGCCACTTACTTCGGGGCATTCATGATTAACTAAGCAAAACAGCAGCATTTTGTTTCAGATGATTTCTTACAGAGATGTTATATTTGTCATTTGTATTCCAGATATATATTAATACAATGTATGTATACTGAGATGATGAATAACATTTTTATCCACATCAAGACTAAATAAGTGTTTTGTTTTGTTTTTTTGGTGCAGTTTTAATGCAATGTTTATTGTAAATTAAAGCCCTTTGTATACTGAAATTACAAATGACAGTTTATTTTATTGACATCAAGACTAAATACATTTTTAAAGTTTATTTTTGCACTGTTTTAATTAAATGTTTATTGCACATTAAAGTTTATATGTGAATTATATGTTTTAGTCCTGTTGTTGTAAGTGTAGGTGTTTTTCGTCAACAGCCAAAACAGCTCAAAAGCAGTGTAAGAGAATTGATATGTAATTTATTAAAGAAATTAAAGAAAGTTATGATTACACGCAGATTTCTTAAATGACACTGATCCTGTAAAACTATGCTTAGTTTATCCAACAAAAAAAAAACTATTTAGTTATATATTATTCTTGCCTCTTATAATATTTAGCATAGTAAACAGAAAAAAGTTATAAAATACAAAATAATAAAATCATTCAATTTTTTTTCTGTTTACATGGTTAAATGTGGTACACATACTCTTAAAATCCAATACAACGAATATGGCAAAAGAGAGGTGAATATAGACTATCATGTCATTGATTTTCTCTAGAATGTCAATGACAAGTTTTTCTCTTATCCTTCAGGTGAAAGATGAGGATGTTTAGCCTGTTTTCTTCTGTTTAGGAGCACCAGTCTGACCCTGGGGAATGAAGTGAGAGCTGTATTTAATAAATATTTTATATTCAAAATGTTGGTAAATGCAGATTGACAAACATTACAGAAATCACAAGGCTGTTAGGCTATGTTTAATTATAAAACAGAGAAATTTTAGTTTAAGAAGTTGCAGATCTGCAACAGAACAATATTCAGTTGTGAATGTTTCAGTTTTTGACATATCATAACGTACACTGCACAGAATTATAATCCATTTCTGTTATGAAAAAAAAAAAAGTTTGAAAATAAGAAGCTTCTTAAGGGTGAACTGGGGCTGAGGGGTCATCTTTGCATCTATTATATCATTGATCATTTCTACTATGCCCTCATTATGGCTTACATCGTTATTGGCATTAATGAGGATCCT